GTCGGTAAGACGCACAATTCGCTGCGCTAAATTGGTGACAACATTTTTCTTGTAAATTCCAGGCTGCACAGAAAGGAACAACGTAAGTGCCATTAGTTTCCCTATGCACATAAGTGTTTTTTCAGATGAGCCAGAATTTATAGGTGCAAATTGCAAAATGCAGTCCAATTATTGTTAATCTATTCAAATGCTGATCGATTTTTAGATGATCTAAATTCAGAAATGGATTAATTCTTGCTTGGAAATAAAATTAATCGATTGTTTCATCAGTTAATTTTGAGATGGTTTTAAAAAATAAGAACCTGTGCCCTAGGATGCCCGCCAGGGTTGCCAGAAGTAAACCAGCACTATGTAAATGTTTCATGTAATTCGTTCCTAATGCTGGACATTCAGATGAGGAGCAATGAGGACGAGGATTCTGAGTCGTCGAAGAAATTTTTTTTTTCTGATTACTCGTGTTCCGGTCTTGGTCGGTCGGGGTTATACATCTTTATTACTCATAAGAGCATTCAAGCTGGATAATTTTTCCTCAGCCAGAATTTTATAATGTTCGAAGCATGGTACAATTTCATCTATAAAATTAATGAGAAAAGTCCATAGATTTGACGCGGTAGAGTCGTCCGTATTGTTGTGGGGGGGATCGCGCACAAATGAAGAACACAATGAATATATGAATAATGAACAAATGAACATGTATATCTCTAATTTCTCAAGCTACACTCACAGGGGCCGACCGGATCATCTGGGAATCTTTTCCTCGAGACTGATCTCGCCCATGTGATCACCGAATCTTTTTATGTCAAAACGTGTGCACTTCCGCGACACTGAAGCTTCACGTTTAGACATAAACAAGCGCTAACTTCCGACGGACCTATCTCTATCGCTGGCCATGGAAATCCGTGAATTCTCACGAAAAGCCATGACGCAAAGCACGCCTCATCTATGGAGCCGAATGTGGGAAACTTAAGCCTGTAAAGACTTAAGCGTTCCCACAACATCCCCTCTCGCTACCAAAAACAAAATAAATGACACAACTCCACTCTCTCAACTTAACTCAGGTCTAGATGAGACGCCCTTTAGCGACAGAAACAAATACATCAGGTATAAGCTTTCCGAGGAACACCTGGTCGAAATCAGTCCTTCCTAAAAGATATCTTTCTCTCTCTACAATCTCACAAATTACAAGAAAATTTACAAATTTACAAAACAATTCTAAAAAAACTTGATATGCTGCCGTGAACGATTCCTGTTCCTCGGGAATAATCATCCAGCCGTCCTTCCTCGCGTAGCCGCCTGCTTGCATCGTCCGAGAGTCCCTCCAGAAGTTGTACCGATCTCCGTCCACAGTGCCCAAATTGGGGATGCCTCCTTCGAGCCAAACCGTAGCGATGTCCTGCAAAGGATCCCTGGTGGTGCCATGCGAATGCGAAGAACCAAGTGCGTGGTACCCTGCAGCCAGACGTTTTGCCATGAGTTCCGCTGGTGGTGCCATGCGAATGCGAAGAACCAAGTGCGTGGTACCCTGCAGCCAGACGTTTTGCCATGAGTTCCGCTGGTGGTGCCATGCGAAGAGCCAAGCGAGTAGCGATCCATTCGAGCTACGCTCCCCTGCCCCAGCGGTGCCAAAAGTTAGATTCCCATAGGCAGACGCGTTGATCAGTAGATGGCGCCAGACTGCTACAAGTTGCGCGACATAGCGATGTTGTGCGAGCCGTGATGAGCCGTGATGAGCCGTCCGCAAGGTAACTTTATGTCAGGGTGCTCGGTACCAGATGGTCGGGGCAAGCCGTCAGTGCTCGTAGTCGTAGCGACGTGAAAACTACATCATGAGGCGCAGGCGCCCGGAAAACTCGATGACCTGGGTGCCGACGGTTGTAGATCGTACTTCCTCCTTTGAGACTCCCCCGAATGCTGCTACCTCAACGCCGCGTCCAAGGGATGATTAAGCCGTTGGAACAAAAAACCGCCCGGGCACATGGAACAAAATAAAACCCATATTAATTAGAAAAAAAAACAAGAAATGAATTAAAATTAATAAATCTTCTCTCTTCTTTTCCATTCTTTCTCTTATTCCTTTTATTATTATTAATATTATTTTTATATGTTTTCTTTTTAATTAAATCTAATCTTTTAAGGAAAAAAAACCATTAACGTGAAAACAAAATCAGACTCAGCACTGCCAAAAAAAAAGTTCTAGATAAATCCAAAAATTACTACATAAAATAAAAAAAAAATCAAAACGAGACAGTACCAAAATTAAATGTACAAAGAAAAACAATATATTTAATAATAATATTTAATTTAGTTGAGTATTAAACTTCAGTAAACTATGGGCGAGGGTGGAAAAAAAAATCCGGTTTCAACATTATAACCTCGATCCAATTTCCTCTCCGAAGCCGGCAAATAATAAGAATTACAACAAAAAAAAAACATGAACCCGTGGGTTAGGCAAAAAAAACTATTTAACAAGCAAAAAGAAAAAAAACTTTAAATTATGAAAATTATGTAATCAAACGATCTCTTTGAACCCAGTGGATTTTGACTAAAAGCAACTAAAAATCGAGAGCTGAACAATTTTTCCAACTGGTGAAATTAATCCTGTTACTCTAAAATATTTGCTACATCTAACCACCCCATAAAAGGGTGAGGGGGATCGATTCACTCGACGCCATCCACCACCACCATTTTGTATCAGACAAAACAGGCGGCAAAAACTGTCCGATTTTTTAAGATGGTAAAAAGTCGAAAAAAAAAACCGATAGTAAAACAAAATTATGAACGCCGCTCTCATCTGACCTTAGACGTTATTTCGCCAGAGAAATTTCGTATCAGACGAAACTCACAAAGACTGTCCGATTTTTAAGACGGTAAAAAGTCGAAAAAAACCGTTACTGGAAAACTTGAAGATCAATTTTTCATCCAGTGCCTAATTTTCTTCTAAAATTCCAATTTTTTAGATGCAATTTCGCCCAAATAGAGATATCATTGTCCTTTGCACTGTTTTTCGCACCGATTTCTTTTTTACTAACTTTGGCAACATCTACTTTCAAAACTCGCTGGTTAC